AACTATGACAAAAATATCCTGACTAATGCAGGAAAAAAACTGTGAGAAGAGTGGAGACAGAGGACCCTGTGTTTACTGAACAAAACCTGCTCCCGACCAGGTTTGGTCAGCTCTGGGAAGAAACAGTTTCTCTCCTCTTATCCTGACAGAAGAAATATGTAGAATATGGCCAGGCTGACACCACATAGCAATTTTTGACTTTTTTATTAACTTATTCTATGCAGCTTTTCTCAAGCATGAAGTTGTTGTTAAGACACCAAGGAATACCAAGACTTATATGGCTTTGGCCTTTTCTCAGTAGTTCTTGGTCTCAGTTGGTGTGGTCTTGACTAAAACACTACCATGTACAGCAAAAAAAAAAAAAAAAAAAAAAAAAAAAAACAGTATAGTTCAATGCACTGTAACACTTTTGCACCACTGGTGCAATAACCTTTCTGGAAGTCTTGTGTGTTTTTCTTTACAAATTCCATTTTTTTTTTCTTCTACCTTTTTAAGAGTTTTATTATATAATGATAAAACAACAACAACAACAAAAAACTCAAAATGCATACAGAGACTGGAAGAAATGCAAAATTATGTTGATGTCTGCAGCAGTAAAAAATCTGGTCAGTCATTAACTGGCAAACAGTGGAGTGATGACCTGAATCAACACAGGCATGTTCAAGCCAAATAAAGCACATAAAGATCCAAGCCACACCTACAACATTATCCATAGTTATAAATCATTCCTCAGCAGCAGGGAGAACACGCCTTACATCACATTGATTACAGACAGAAACGAGTAGATTCAATGTTGGAAGATGGATGAAACAGTCGCAGATGTTGTGCTAGAAACCTCCTGATCATTAACTCAAGATGGCAAGTTATAGAAAGCAGTAAAAAAAAAACTTTTTTATGGAGGACAAATAAAAAGCCATAGGAAAGAATAGGAAACAAACCTGTTCAAAGAATTCATCCATAAAGCCTTTGTCCATGCCAACAGCAACCTCCTCCTCTTCCTCTGTTGTCTCCTTGCCCTGCAAAAAAAGAAAAAACAAATGTTTTTAGGATCTGAAAAAGAATGCAATGTGCTGTTTGTAAATTAAAGCAGTTTCTATAATGTTGACAACAGCAGCGATGAGGATATTATTTAGTTTCTTTTGCAAAATTAGAAGTTAAATAAAGAGCATCGACATGTGTCCACCTTCTCCACCCATCAGCTGATAAGAGACAAGAAGCACTTAATGACACTTGTAATTAGCCAGAGATGATTAATAACCTATTACTTAATAATGACCTGGGGGCGTACAGAACCTTTGTGGGGGTTTTAGTTTTTTTTGTTGACTGTCAGCGCTCTACATTAACACATAACCGTCAAAGACAGATATTTATATATGTATAAAAAAAGCTTCCAAATATTCTACCTCCTCTTTCTGACATGAAATCAGACTCTAATCTTTTTGGTCAGTTTTGTTACCCACAGTTTTTCCACTCATTGTGGCTCAGAATGTAAGATCGGTTTTAGACTTTATTCAGATTAAATTAACATACATGTCACTAGATTTTGGCCTCATAAACTGTATGACTCAGGTCAAATATTTTTGGTATGCAATAATTTGTCTTTAGAGTATTTGCAAACTATTATCCTTATTTTTAGGTTACTTTTGAAACACCTTTTTCCTTGTTGAGTGGCATTTTGGCCCATATTGGTACCTGACTGGTCTCACTGTGGAAAATGAAATCTTTCCAGCTCAAAAGGGCATGACATAATTACCTGGTCTTTTTGATTTTGTTTAACATCATATTTATCGGAATGTTTGTCGACATTGAAGTGCTGAACAATTAAAAATACTAGCAATATGATCACAATGTTAGAGAAAGTACTTTTTAAATGGCAGACACTAGCCTTTTTTTTTTTATTTCAGCCCTTTTTTGGTGGCGGTAATGCCACAATACAGAAGGGAAGACAGGGTTGCAGCTGCTGCACATATTCATGCTTGAAATTAAGAAGTAAGCACTTTTTAAGGCAGCAGTAAAGTCCTGTGAAAAAGGATCATGGACAAGAAAGCATTAAAGTCTCGTGAAATTTCATCGTTCGGTTACAAATTCTCGTGATATTTTGCAAATTCTTGTGAGATTTTGTTAGTAAAATAGATCGATACCGCATCAATATATCAACATATAAAAATATGGCAAAATTTTGTGAATTTTAGGGGGATTTTGTAGCATAACGATGACATATAGCAATATTTCATTAGTAAAAGAGATTGATATGGTGTTTGTAAATGGCAATATATCAGCATATGAAGATATTGTGATATTTTAATGTATCAATATTTTTTCCCTCGTCTTTAGAAGTTTTTAAGTCTGTAAAAAAATAAGTTTTTAAGGAAGAAGAAGTAGTATTTTTTTTTTTAGACTTTAGAAACTCAGAAGCTGATCAAATATCGGGTTAAATATCGGTGGGGTGGCCGATATCCGATATTCAGTTTTAAGGCCGATACAGGCCGATACCGATAGGAGGCCGATTATATCGTGCATCCCTAAAAAAAAAAAGAAAAAAAAAATAGAATAAAATTGCCTTTAGTAAGTATAAAAAGTTGTAGTAATCCTAACTCAGAGATAACAGAAAGGCTTTGTCTGCTTTAATGTCTGAAAATGACGGAAAACGTCAAGATAGGGGACCTTTCAGAAATTCTGATCAGGTAGAAAGGAGCTGTAAGGAATCCCACCATCCATTGCTCAAGTACAGCCCAACATGCAGAAATGTACAAAAACACAATATTTGTTCATGTGTACTCTGTGTGAAAATGTAAATGCCCTATAATTTGTTTTTGTGGCTCTTTTTCGGAAGGCTGTAATCCCAATTTGACTACAAGTGTGTTACTGTCATGTGCTGAAGCCTGCCTGGATTCTGCACAGCAGATGAGAGCTCCTCTCCTACCTAGAATAGTGTTCTACAGTTGACAGGATTAAAGGTGAAGAAATAAAAGCTAGGCCTAACAGCTAGATACTAGAGCAAAATTTAAATTAGAAATTAACACAAAAGTAACCAGCAATCTAAAAAGAAGACATCAATCAATATACAAAAGAAATAAAAAAAAAAAATCCAATATGAGCACTGAGGGAAATAAACAAAAACATCAAAATACAATGTTTTGGTGTTGTATTTCCCTGCTCAGTTGATAAAATACAATGCTGAGTGATATTGAATTCATAAGGAGACAAGATTTTAGCTTAATTATGGTGTAAGACCAAGAAAAAGGCTGTGACCTCAGCACATAGAGGTGCTAATCTTAATATAACCTGAGTTACACCCTTCAACTGGAAGGTTATATTTCTAGTCTGGCCTCTCAGTGCAAAAATAATGTAGCCATTCTACCTCAACTTAAAAAGGCATAAAGGGAGCATTTTGGGAAGCTGGAACTGGTTGAGAGGTTTTGGCAGCATCTGTGTATAAAGTCTGAGCAAAATAATATTGAGTTGTTGGATCATGATGAATACTGATGTGTATTTCTAAACTACATTTAAATTAGTTGTTATTAAATTAAGGTTGTGGCTGGAGGGTGACACAACCCACTAACAGCAACATCCCTCTCACCCTGACCCTAAAGCCTTTAATGTCTTCAGTATATAATAGTTAAGATTGAGGAAGCTGCACTACATTGTGAGGGTGAAAATAATATTGCTGATTTATAGGGTCCCAGTGATATAGTGGTAACATCCATGCTCCACCACCTCACAATATTTCCAGATAACCTTTGCCTATCCCAGACCCAGGAAGACCTTTTTAGCAAAACATGACCTCCTCAACAAAAGGCTGGGGCCAGCATCAGGTCCAGGTATAATTATTTTTATCAATCAAGTAGAGTTAGACAGAAATCATTTTCATAAGGGAAAACAGTCTGACATCACATCGTGTAGCTGGTGATACATAATGAAATAAATGCTTATTCCTCATCACATATCAGTCATTATGCTGCATTAGCAGGGATTCCATGTGGCTTCATCTCATTCATCTAGCCACTGTCAAACTAATCCCCCTACCCATTAGCAGCTTATGAAATCCATTTGCTTATCAACGTTCTAACACCAGAATGCACTTTTCATCCTTTTTTGCCTGACATGCTTTACTTTATCTGTAATTTACGCAGAAGCAGAACTATGATTTCTCAACTAAATTTAGCCCACCGACATCTAGATTTTTTTGGAATATTTTTTTCAGTAACACTATCATTTAAATGTTTGCTGAAACCGCTTAAAAAGGGAACTTTACACAACATCCTTCATGAAAGCAGAGATATTGTAAAAGCCTCAGACTCAGAAACTGTGCATAAATCATGAATTTTATTTTAGAAAGCACAGTTACATACATTTGTAAGCCTCCAGCCTCTTTTAACCATTAAGTTCTATAAATATTTAAAACACATAGACATTATAAAAATGATCACATTGAGCTTCATGCGCATAGGGAAGCCATTCATCCAGACAGAGACAATAACAAGGATAATTGAATAAAGGAGGCAACATAAAGTTTACAGTCAAACGAGGCAGTGAACAAACTCACTTTTCCATAGCATGTAAAATTCATCCACAGTTATTTAATACCTTGAATTTAGTTTACAAGAAAACTGATGCGTATTTATTTTTCGTTAAAATTACATACGGTATATTGTATAAATACTGGATGTAATCTAAAATATTTCAGGTAAAAAGTAAAAATGCAAGTTTTATTAAATTGTTATTTTCATAATAGAAATAATCTAAAATAAATAAATTGAACATCTGATATCGATTTAATACGTTTTTTTGGATGCATTTGGTGTAATGAGACTGTTTTAGAAAGTAAACAAAATAGGGGTGAAACAAAAAATCATGATTAATCGATTATTGAAATAACAGTGAACCCATTCAGTAACCAATTAATCGTTAAATAGAGGAAAGAGACTATAACACATGCCATTAGCTGACAGAGCAGACTAATTAGAGCAGTAATTATACCAACATTGTAAAACAATATATAAATATTTTGCACATCAGATGAAAAAAATTTTGTTTGCCCGTCCATGTGATCTAACCAGAAGTCCTCAAGTAGAAAAGTTTTAGCTTCACCTGGTTTAAATTCTGTAAAACATTTCTTTGAGCAGCCTTTCGCTAGCTGATTGTTAATGGATTAATTGAAAAACAATTGTTTACCAGAATTGCTGAGTTGCTGGTAAAAACCTTAAAAACAGGAATTAATTTTCAAAACACTGTGCATTCTTTAGGAAAAAATTACCAGTTTACATCAATAACATCATTCGGGGTAAAAGTTGTTAATGAGGGAAGAATAGGACTCAAAGGTATGTATTTTGTTACAGTGGGTGTTCTGGTGGGAAATTCAGGAAGAGAGAATGTTTTAGGTTTACTGCTGGCTCCTAGTTTCTAAAAGTAGGAAGGGAGACAGATAATTTCTTAATCAGGCTCATCTCCAACCACCACCCAGCTATAGCTATAGTTAGTGGCTTGAACCACTACCTCTGTGGTCATGCTGTTGTAGGCTTAAGCTAATGGAAGACATGAAGACCATTTTTTTCTATCTACTACTTTTACCAAACTTCTTTATGGATAATCTCTCCTTTTTCTCTCCCAGATTCAATACCTAGTAGGGGTGTAAATAAACACCTTTATCATGAAACGATTAAATATTGATTTGTTTGGAAAACAATACAATCTTTACAGATATCATTAAGTGTGTGCTACAATATTATTTCTATTCAGTTCAGAATCCTGGGATTGATTTGATCTGATATTATAAGCCAATCTAACACAGATATTTACACTGATATTCACTCTAAAAAAACAACTACATTTTATCTACATCATATCTCTTACAGCATTAGGCATTTAAATCAATAACACTTTTCTAATTAAAAAATGACAATAATATCAGATCACTAGTTCACTACAGACCTGTGTCTTCTGAATTAACGGTGTATCTTAAAGATGATGTGGATTGATGTCTTCATTTTGATTAAGTGTAATTTGATCATTTAAC